AGTAGATCCATTGCATACTTTCTTTGTAAATAAAATTTTCATCTAATCCTTACTTCACTTCCAACCCAAGAAAATAGAGCAGTAGACCTAGATCTGACATTTCAAAATTATTCATCATGCATTTTTTTAATTCTGCTACAGAAGAGTTAGATGAACCCATATATATAATATCATCAACATAGAGGCAAACCATTAGAATATTATGTTCACTTTCTTTCTTTAGATGAAGAGTAGATTCATTATTGCTCATTTTAAATCCATTTTGAAGAAAATAATAATAAATTTTATTGAATCATGCCCTTTGAGCTTGTTTAAGCCCATAAAGAGCTTTTCTTAGCTTATACACTTTTTCTTCATGTTCTTTAACCAAAAAAACCTTTAGGTTGAGCAATAAAAAACTCTTAGTGTAAATCTCTGTTTAAAAACGTAGATTTCACGTCAAATTGATAAACAAGCCAACTCAAACGAGCAGTTAAAGCTAAGAAAGTTCTCATGGTTTCGAATTTAGCAACTAGCGAAAAAGTATCAACAAAATCAATACCTTGTTGCTATGAATATCTTTTTGCTACAAGCTGTACCTTATGTTTTTGGATACTTCTATCTGCATTAAACTTTGTTTTGAACACTTATTTTAATCCAATAACTTTCTTTTCTTTCGGTAGATCCATTAGCTCCCAAGTTTCATTTTTCTCAATTGACTTGGTTTTCTCCTTCATTGTTTTTCTCCATTCCTCTTTTTCAATTGCTTCCTTAAAAGTTGTTGGATCTGAAATAAACAAAGCAAATGTTGAGTCATAAATTTCTGTTAGTGATATGAAATTTCTTGGAGGAGTTTCATCTGAGGAATCAAAATTTGAACTACTATTAGGTGAGGTTGATGATGAACTTGTTGGAGTATGATCTACCATTTGATTCTACGGAGTGTCTAGTTCTATTGGAATCTACATTTGCATTTCATTTTTATTGGTCTCCCAATTCTAACTTGCCCTTTCATCAAACATAACATTTCTATTAATAATAACTTTTTCAGATTTTTCAATAAGCTTGTGATGATTTTATGAATTCACCAAAGTATAAGCAATACAGCCAAAAATTCTTAGATGGCTTACACTTGGTTTTATACCATACCAAGCTTCAAAAGTAGTTTGATTCATAACAGCCTTTGTTGGTGAAATATTCAACAAATAAACTATTGTTGCAATTGCTTCTACCCAAAACTGATTTGGAATTTGTTTTCTTTTAAGCAAACTTCTTACTATTTCAATGACAGTTCGATTCTTACATTTAGCTATACCATTTTGCTCCGGTGTGTTTAGTGCTGTCAATTCTCTACGAATACCATTTTCTTCACAAAAAGAATTAAATTTATTAGATAAAAATTCACCACCTCTATCTGTCCGAAGTGTCTTTATGTGTCTACCACTTTGCCTTTCTACAAGTGTCTTGAACTTTCGAAAATCATCAAATATTTCAGATTTCAGTTTCAGAAAATATACCCAACTCATGCAGCTATAATTATCAGTAAACAATAGAAAATATTGACTTCCACCAAATGATTTTGTATTCATAGGTCTATATAAGTCAGCATGAATTAATTCAAGACAATTAGATGCTCTCCATGCTTTTCCAATAGGAAATTACTTTTTACTTTGTTTGTCATAAATGCATCCTTCACATACATCAAGTGTATTAATCTTGGACAATCCGAAAATCATTCCTTTTTTACTTAACTACCTTAAATCCTTAATGTTAAGGTGTTTATATCTTAAATGTCATAAATTAGACTCATTTTTTTTAGTTGCGATAAGCGCATGCCTTTTAATATTTGTAACATCAAGTGGAAACATCTTGTTTTGCGTCATGCAAACATTTACCATAATCAAACCAGATTTTTTATCTTTAATAATGCATGAACCATCATCAAATATTACTGAATATCTATCATCTATCAATTGTTCAACACTCAATAAGTTATTTGATAAAGTAGGAACAAAGAAAACATTATCAAGGTATTTTACCTTTCCTTGATTTGTCTTCACCTCAATTGTTCCTTTTCCTTCCACTTGGATTTGCTTGCTATCTCCAAGTCTAACTTTCAACTTGTGAGTTTAATCAATATCTCTAAATATTGATTTTATGCCTGACATATGATTAGAATATATTGAATCTCATATTTTAATTATGAAACCAATTGATATATGTTTATGTTTTAATCTGTGTTTTGAGTGATGCAGGATGCTTCGATCAGGATGAGACAATTAAAGCAGGAAAAATCATGTTGGGCCGGAGGAACATGTTAGAAGATTGGACGTCAGGCCAGTGGATCGGCCGACGTATCGACAGAAGGCTTTGGGCTGTGGATTTGGGTATCGGGCCAAGAAGAGAGGGTATTGCGCTAAGGATATCGGAGTTACGGAGTCAATTGGCCGATTGGGCAATAGGCCGTAAGAGAGGACGATGTGCCGAAGAATCGGACGAAGCGTCGAGGGACCAATGACATGTCGGGCAACTTGATTAATGCTTAGTATTAATTGTCTAGATCGAAGTACGTTTTACATGTGTAGGATTAACTATGATGGTAAGGCATGGAGCAAAATGAAGTCTTGGAGTCAAGGACGCGATCACATTGGGAGTTCGAGAGTTCATCGGAATTCCGGACGTTTCGTCGGAAGTTCTGCGGGAACCATCCGAGAAGTCTTGGAGCTTGCCAGAGAAGCTCATCGAAACTCGCCAAGAAGATCATCGTGAAGTCCAGGAGCTTGCCGAGAGTTCGTCGGAAGTCCGTTGGAAGATCGCTAGAAGCTTGCCGGAAGAATAGACATAGGGACTTGTTTAGCTTAGCAAATGTCTTGGGATTTTGTAGTTAGCAC